GAGCGCACCGGCCATCCCTATATAGGATCCGAACCCGCGGCCTCGGCGCTCCCAGTGCCGCTGCGCTCCCAGCGCCGCACTCTCCTGAGTGAGCCACAGGGTCGGCCCTCAAGTCTCCTTTTAAATCTGAAGAAATTGAGGCCAAGGAAAGTGATTTGCTTAAAGTCACATACAATGTGTTAGTGGCAGATCGAGAAATAAAACTATTTTTCCACTTAAAAAAATTCTGCAAAACAAATATATTTGGATGATACAAGGAACTCTATTGTAAAATGTACGTGTACTACAATTCTATGGCATTACTAATTAGTCATAAATAAATTGGCTTATTTAAAGAATGTAAATAAATAATTTGTCATGATTCCTTGATTCCCTTTATCTCATTGGAATTTGAAAGTGCTTTTGAGAAATTTTAATTTCTTCAACATGTTATGTAGGGCCTTCCTTGCCCAATCCTGAGCTGTGCCATGGCAGAGACTGGAGAAGAGGAGACAGTGTCAGCAGAAGCCTCAGGGTTCTCAGACTTGAGTGACTCAGAGTTCCTAGAATTTCTGGACCTGGAAGATGCTCAAGAGTCAACTGCTTCACTTAGGAAGCCTGGTCCTTCTGATCTCCCTGGGAAGGATGGCAAGCTCATAAGTGTACAAAATTGGAAAAGAGGTTTGGATGTCTCATCACCCATGGAGAGATTCCACCTTAAATATTTATATGTCACTGACCTGTCTAATCAGAACTGGTGTGAATTGCAAATGGTATATGGGAAGGAGTTTCCTGGTGTCTTGACACCTGAGAAAGCAGCTGTTTTGAACACTGGTGCCAGCATTCACCTAGCAAAAGAACTAGAACTTCATGATCTTGTGACTGTCCCTATCACCACTAAAGAAGATGCTTGGGCAATTAAGTTTCTGAACATACTATCAATGATTCCTATCCTGCAGTCAGAAGGGCGCATCAGAGAGTTTCCAGTGTTTGGGGAAGTGGAGGGTGTGCTTCTTGTGGGATTGATTGATGAGCTGCACTATACAGCTAAGGGGGAATTGGAACTGGCTGAGCTCAAGACACGCAGGCACCCTGTGCTCCCTGTGGAAGCTCAGAAAAGGAAAGACTATTTTCAAGTCAGCCTATACAAATATATCTTTGATGTGATGGTACAAGGGAAAGTGGCCCCTGCCAGCCTAATCCACCATGCAAAATTGTGTCCAGAAAAGCCACTGGGGCCTTCAGTGCTAAGGCATGCCCATCAGGGAGGATTCTCTGTGAAGTCTTTAGGTGACCTCATGGAACTGGTCTTCCTGTCTCTAACACTGTCTGACCTCCCAGTTATTGATATCCTGAAGATTGAGTATATCCACCAAGAGACGGGCACTGTGCTGGGTACAGAGATTGTAGCCTTTGATGAGAAGGAGGTGAGAGGCAAGGTACAGCATCATATGGCCTACTGGATGGGCCACCGAGAGCCTCAAGGGGTTGATGTGGAGGAGGCTTGGAAGTGCGGGACATGTAACTATGCAGACATCTGTGAGTGGAGGAAGGGCAATGGAGCACTTGGCTCCACACTGGAGCCTCAAGTCAAAAAAGCCAAGTGAATAGAAAGTATGCTTTCGGGAACATGGATCCTTCCTGCTCCTGATGTACCTGGGTAAAAGAGGATCAGTCTCTGAGCTTGCCTTTCATGAAGAGTGTTTTTATTTTGGTTCTTTTTTATATTTCCACAACCTCTAACCATATTCAAATCTAGGACCAAGGCTTAAGTATGAGTTGGAAAGATGTGGGGTTATATTGTCCCTCAAGCTTTGCCATGGATCTCCAAGAAGACAGATGCACATCATGGCTGGAACAAAAGTAGCCTTCAGCAAACATCGCTTTCCTAAGAAAATTCTCCAGTTTCTGATAAATCTCTATTTTTTCTCAGTCAAGGCTTTCTACATATTACATAATAAAATAAAATGAAATGCTGTCCAGGACAGTTGAACTGATTTTTTTTTTCATAATCTCAATCCTTCAAAGATGACTGCTACACATAGATGTTATTCCAGGCCTTTAAATGCATACATAACAT